AGAGACAGGATAAGCCCTTTTAGAATCCACTTGAAGAGCATATGTGCCACCATTGTTGTATCTAGATAAAGAAAGAAAGTATACCCATTAAAGACAATTTTGAAGAAAACATCCTGCTAAGCTTTTTCATCCTTGCTTTTGTGCAAATGTAAACGCTGTGGAGTTACTTACAAATTGAAATACTTGAAAAATTAATCAACTAAACTAAAATTTTTTAAAGTGCAAACACCTTCCAAAATGAATTTATATGTTTAAAGCTGCTATAACTGATAAATCTGATGATTAAGCTACCCAAGATACTGATATCCCCAGTGATTCCTCCACAGAACATTTCCGATACTTATCATTTTTACTGGACTGACAAAAATAAATAACTGAGGTATTAAAGCAACACATTCTTCCAGCAGCCAAGAAGCAAATAGAAGAATATCCAAATACCCCCTTTGATTTATTTAAATGGGTTTTACATGTGTCAATACAGTAGGCAAGATCTGAGACATATGCTTATTACATGGCGGAAGGAAAATCAATTCACTTTTCAACTCTTAGACAGGTAGTCACTTAGAATGACAGCGGTCAACATATTGGGTCACATTATGCAGAACACTAAACGAGCAATTAAAATATTTGCATGGAAGTTGGAAATAGATTGTATAAAATTCATTAGGTGTGGTCTCTTCATCTTCTTACAGATCATTTATTAAATGTACTGACTTACACCGACTTATTGCCCACTTAGGGATTTGAAACCAAAGGCGTGGTGCTTGCCTGGAAGTCCCCATTGACATTAGTCAAAAATACAAAAGAGATAGGAAATACAAAGCTGCTTTTAAATGTACCTGCATCAGAGGTGTTAATCTATTAAGTCAGTAAAAATATTTTTAAACATCCATTTCAGGCATTTACATTGTCACATAATCCACCACTTAAATCAAAAGTCCCATAAATTATTCCTGGCAATAAGATTGCCCTAAAAATAGATCGAATCTTCATATGATCATCTGAAAAACACATGGCTCATTGCCTCGCAGTCCCAAACAGCAAAAGGGATGTTAAGTGGTTTGCTCTGCACGGCACTGATATACAGCCCAGCATAAAGGAGTCATCACAAAGCAGAATGAAGAGCAGAGGGATAGCCAGGAAAGCAGATTCGAAATTGCCTTCTGATTCAAAGCCTTCTTAGCTAGTTCAAGGACACCCATTGCCTTTAGTGGATTCAAAGTCAAGATCCCATAGGGAGTAACAGTTCATCTTTTAAATTATTCCTAGAGAGCTCTGCTAAAGCCAAAGATAGGTCTTAAGCCATGTAAGCCATATTAATGTTAATTAACATGATTTAATGTTAATGTTCCTCATGAAATGGATTTAAGTCCATGAGCAACCACTCTCTACCTGTGAGCTCTTCCAAAGTCCCACGGCAACAATGCAGAGGCTTACGCTGGAAATGAAGAGGGCTGACGAGACAAGAACACGAGAGATGCCTGTCATGTATTACTCCAGCTGCTACTCGAATAACACCAAAGTAGAGAGGATGAGTTTTTCTGAGCACTGTATGTGCAGGTTGCAGTTGCTCCTCTTTCTCCCTCCCTACACCTGTGGTACACGGCAAGACTGAACAAAGAGGGTAGAGAAGAGCCTGCTTCTAACCCACAGCGGTGGGCAGAGCAAGAGCAAGGCAAAACTGCTTATGGAAATACTGTTCTTAAGACAAGGGGTTTTTCAATCAAAACATAGTTCTTTGTTCACTTTATTAACTTCTTGAGAAGATCAACAACCTGGATTTATTCCTAAATTAATTAGAGGCAGAAAGACAGCCTGGTTTCTACCTAAAGAGAGTGAGCTGTTCACATTTAACTAAGGCAGCCCTGTATTGGAGTTCTGTAGTTGCCAGAGATCTCGATTTGTTCTTAAGAAAACAACATATCAGTTTAGTTTCAAAACCAAACACCAAAGAATTATTTATAAGCCTTAATAGCACACAGAATATTTGTTTGCAATGTATTTGAAACAAGTTCAAAATAGTTTCCTAAACTTTTCATGCTAATGCTATTTTATTATCTGTTTATAAATGAACTGCTTTGTGCAATTAATTTTCTAACCTTGTAAGTCAGATCGTATCTCAGAAACATCCAACTCTCCAAACACGGCAGAAACTCATTCATCTCAAGCGTCTCCTTTTCTAACTCAAATGAAATATTTCATTTTGATCACTGTTAATAGAAAAGACCTCAAACCAAAATGGAATGGTTGCTATTACAAGACTCAGAATAAAACTCTAAAAATAGGAGCACATATATTAAAAAGCAACATCAAAAAAGAATCCAGTAATGACATCTAATGCAGGGTTTTTTCAGCTTTTATTGTTCACCATAATACACACTACGTTCCTGCTCCACATTTAATGTTTGGAACATTCTCCTAGGAGGCAGCATTAGCCTTTTGGGGGACAACGCTTGTAGTTTCATTAAAGATACAGACATAGCCAAATTTATAAATACCTCCAGCCAGTGCCACTTCCCCAGGGAGAGGCAGCTTTTTGAGCTTAACAAGGAAATAAATGACACACAGGTCCCTGATGCAATCCCAAAATGGACTCTAACTTTTTGTCTCTCCAGGCTTGATTTTTCTTTGCAGGTGTGAAAGAAGTCAATTTAGGTAGAATTTGGCAAGAAAGAGGGTCTTTCAATCCAAAATACAATCTGGTGATTTTTCACAAGTGTCTCACTTTCTGTTAATTAGGACTGATTAGGTTAGGTATCTGTTCCTCATTAAGCCATTTTCACATACCTTGCTCTTTTTTGAATAAATTGCAGTATTTCACTCCTAATATTGATGCAGGTCACTGGTTCCATCACAAAAGTGAGGAAACACACTTTCACTGCTAAGCCCCAAACCACAGCTACAGAAAAAACAGTAGGTGGCAAGTCATTGAATTATTTGTCCACGGATTCACTTGACAAAAATCTTTTTAAACTGTGTTGGGGTTTGCAAAGACAGCAGACGAAACAGATGATCCTTTAAATTGGATGAAGTACCTGAGGCTGTGGATAAAAGCAAGTTTGTCGCTCCCTTTGCAGTTTGTGCAACAGAAGCTGAGGATGACCACACCAAAAGATTAGCATCTATGTGCAAAGAAAATAAGACCCCAGAAAATCCTTGCTGGGTGAAGCAAGTGCCCTCTAAAGATTTCTTTAGGTGTTCAGGACCTGGGTTTGGCAATATTTCATCAAAGAGGACTATACTTTAAGTGGCTGGGAGAAAAAAAGAAAAACAAACCCAAAAGCATAGATTAAATTTCTCCTCTGCCTCCTTGGCTGACAGACTACAAAAATTTAACCAAAAATGACCATTAGGGAATTTCCTGTTCAGAAGCAGAAGTGCGAAACATTTTGACATTTCTGTCATAAAGTAATTCGTAACATGACTTTGACATGAAATTCAAACAGAATTTCCAGTCTATGACAAAGTTCTAAACTTAATGCTTTTCTCTCGATTTGGGATGAAATGAGTTTTAAATGAGGCAAAAAAGCAGCTAATTTGGTGCCCAGCTGCAGTCAGGGAAAACATTTACATCAATGTCTTTCAGTAGCATGTAATATTCTTAAATCTGTATATACTTTTGAAGACCATTCCTTTAGATGTCTAAATGTACATGCAGTTGATTAACCTGGCCTGATTTTTTCCCATAAATTGCCATGGAATGCATTTATCAAAGAGCCATGTTCAAAAGTCTTACCTCAAAGTGATAAAAATTCCTAACGGATCCTGGTTTGACAGACTACCAGCTCATGAAGACTCACAGCACACTAGCAGGAGAGCAGGAGAAAGCTCTTCAGAAGTTGCTTGGCCCTGTGAGCAATCAATAAGAAAAACAGAAAACATTTAAAGTCAAAGGAAGTGTGCCTAGGGGAGTGGAAACAAATTAAGATGGAAATAAACCATTCTACATAATCACATATCTTGAGATAATTGTGCTACATCAGACCAAAGTCCCCTGCCCTGATTTCAGCCAACAGCAAGTGTCTAGGAAGGGGTGTAAGAAGACTTTGTGACTTCCTCAGCCATGAGTGGCGTCTTTGTGTTTAACAGCGCTTGATGGATTCTATTCCAATAACTTGTCCAATGATTTTGATCCATTAAAATGTAAACTTCAATCCTCTACAATTTAAATTTTATTTGTAGTGTCACCACCATCCTGCGATGGTCTCAGACGTACTGAGCCATGTATTGTCTGAAATACTTTCTTTGAGCCTCCTCGCTCCTCTGTTAGGAATTAGTCACTAAGTCTCAGACTTTGTTTTCTACAATTTCCTATCCTACAAATGATGTTCTTTTTACATATATAACAAGAAGAAAGCTCAGTTTCTTTCAGGAAGTTTAATGAAAGACCTTGCAAAAGTCTTCTGGAAATCTAACCGGATCTTCTTGATGCACATGTTTATTTCAAAAAGCTTTAACCATTTATGTAGGTTTTACAAAGCCACGGTGATTTTTCATATATGTATATATCGAGAGGATCCCTAATTCCATTCTTAATTACAGTTTCTAGCAAGCATGACAATCTGGGTGCATCAAAATTAAAATGTACTCTAGTATTTGTGTGTGTGCCACTGAGGAAAATGCAAGAGAACAGTTAAGCCAGAAAACAAAAAGTTGGATTTCACTGAAGAAGCACTAAAGTGACTGAGTGTTTGCTGATTACACTATTTTAGTCTCTAAGTAGTAGCAAGCTTCCAATAAGCTGCCCTCTGTGGCATTCCTCCTTCTCATCCCATCTGAAATTTTCATGATAGTTTAGGCAAGGGATCATTTAAACACACACTTCATTTGGCTCTACATCAGATTTTGTTAGAAACAAGCTGTTGTAAAAGCTAAATGAGGCCACGAGTTTCAAAACTGATTGGGATTTTTTGGACGCCTCCGTTTATGATTAATAACTTGAGATACCACGAAGGGGCTGCATAATA